CCAAAAATGACAAAAATATTCACCAAAATTAGAGAATTGAAGATATGATTATGAAATGAACAAATCTGAGAGAGGTTTACCCAAGGTACATATACACCAAGTATCAAAGCATTCAGGCTTGTAGTTTTCAAGAAGAAGTCGAATAAGTAAAACATTGACACGGACGACGGACGACGACGGACAATCACTCATATGATAAGCTCCGCTCGACAAAGTCGACAGCGGAGCTAAAGATGGATGAAAGTTCTACAATTTGTTTCTGGTGGTAGGAACTGTTTCAATGCATACATTGCTCGGGCTGCTTTATCTGCTAAATTTTGTTTGGCTTCAGTGTAGCAGCCATTTGACTGTATGTTTATACCCAGGTAGTTGTACATATCTACACAGGTAATATTTTGTTCATTATAATAGAATTTTTCTGTCTTTTTAAGTGTTTCTCGTCTGAAAATAACAACTTTTGTCAGATTTACCTGGAGTTTCCATTTATGACAATAAACCTCTAAACTGTTTTGTGCATTTTGTAAACCGTTTTTTTTTTTTGTTTCAGATATTAACACTAGATCATCTGCATAGAGTAGGGAACTAATTTTACAGTTATTCAATGTAACTGGATCTAATGATTCATCTTCTAGTGAATTATTTAAGTCATTAACAAACAAATTAAAATGAAACAGAAAGGTATGAGTTACAATAATTTAACATTTTTTCCTTTTTTTGAAATATAATTATTTTTATGATGGGAGATTATTTTGATAAAATCTTTTTTTGGGCTTTCTCAGCAAATAAATTAAATTACTATTTAACTAAAATAAAAAAAAATAGAATCATATTCTAAATAGACTGATAGTGTTGTACATGACACAAGATCAAACAATTGTGGTCTGCCAGTGAGGGCGCTACATATGACATACCAGGACTTTTTCAGAAAAAAAAAAGGATTTAAAAATCAAAATACTTGCCGCTTGTTCTATCCCTGCTGCTAGTTGATTGAATTCTTCAAATGTATAATTTGAAAGATTTTCAGAATAATCAATATTTAAAATACGTATGACAACTCTGTAAAAACCTGTAAAAAAAAAAAATAAAGAAAATCCATTTTTATTATGAAAACAAATATTGGTCTTTTTTCTCTTCTCAACATAGTTTGAGTTCAAATTTGACCCTACTAAGCATACCCCGAGGATAGTGTGTTAGTACCATCACAGCACTCTGTGTCACCACTATGCAGGTCTCATACCACCACAGTCATTGTCCAAAGCTGATCACGACATAGTGGTTTATTTCTGTTTTTTTGTGTACAATGTACATGGTGGTGTCAGTGTTTTTGTTAGTATGTCAAATACTGTAAAATACTTTATTTTAGCTGGAATTAATTTTCGTTAAAAATAATTTTTGGTGTTTTGTATGGAACTGATTTTTGACAGGTTGTAAAATATAGGGTAAAATGTATAATCGCTGGATTTTATTTTTACTGAATCAATTAATTCCAAATTAATTCCAAGTGAAAATATTTTACAGTATTTCAATGTTTGCTCGAAATTATTATGGGGGAAATGGTCAGAGAATATTTTTGTTGTCTCAAAATCAACTTTTAATGCATTTATACAAAAGCAATATTAAATAAATTTTAAACATTGAACTTATATCTTGTTGTTGGATTATCAAATATTCTTAATAATGAAATAATAAAATAAAATAAAATAATAAAATAATGAATAAAAATGAATATAACATTTGTCACTGTATCATATCTCCCTAGGACAAAGGAAAAATCATGGTATCAAAAGATAAGACAAATCTGAGGTCAGAGGTCACCAGATGTTAGGCACATAGTGACAGGATACAAAAAGTGTTGACATCCTGTGAATGTCTGGCATAAAGGATGTCATGTGACAAATTCTAAATTTATTTGAACAGCTGCTCTAATACTGGAAGACACATCTAAAACACCGACAAGCAAACAGGACTGGGCTTTCTTATCAATGTCTGCCTCACCATTGGAAGGCTCATCTAAGACAACAACAACCAAACACAAATGGGCTTTCCCATCAACATCTGCTTCACCATTGAAAGACTCATCTAAGACACTGAACAGTAAACAAGACTGGGTTTTCTCATCAAAGACTGCCTCACCATCAAGTGAATCTGGATTTCAAAGCGGTGTGCACCCTCTAGTGGTCAAATTATAGAAACCATTTGTTTTTTTCAACAGTTACTATAAAAACATGCACTGGGTTTAATTTCACAGGTTTTGAAGGAAACAATAAATTAGTTTGTTCATTTACATAGAAGAGTTGCTCTAATGGCAGCCCATATGCCTATGTACATTATGTTTATTGACAAAATAATATAAAGTTATTTTATTTAAAGCTGGAATTAATTTTCGCTGAAAAGATTTTTTTGGTGTTTTGTACAGGATTTATATTCACTGATTTTTGAAGAGTTGAATGTAATATATAGGAATAAAGGTAAATTCACTGGATTTCATTTTTAGTGAAAATGGCAATAATAAATTCCAAGCAAAACTTTTCGCTGAAAAGAACTTTTTAGTGTTTTCTATGGAGTTTATATTGTATTTTAC